GTTTCATGCTACACCAATAGTATAGCGCATTTTACTGTGTAAGAACACCTTGTAAATATCTTCTACATTGTGTCTATCATTACCGCCTGCCAGCTTAGTGTCAACTACCGCAAGCTTCTTTCTGTTTTTCACCCATTTTTGCTCTACATAACCATCAGTTCAAACGAAAATCTATTCCAATTCAAAAGAAGGAACCTAGATTCAGATACGACTTCGTTGTATACATCGTTCAACTTCCGCCATTACAATTCTTTCCCTTTGCAACTCAGTGACCTTGCCTTACCCGCTTCATATGATTTCAACCTTCCCAAACATTATACCATTAGGATTCATCTTTGGCGCTTTTCAGGCTGCGACGCTGGAAACAATATGATTCTGAGCAACCCCTGCAAATATACACTTGGCGGTGGATATTTCAAGTAAGTATGGTTGGCAAGCCACCTTTGGCCAACAAAAGTTATCGGAAGTGTTTATACTGGATTCCATGGCATTGCCATAACTAACAGCAATTTTTGAGACCATCTGCAGTGCTAAGCATCTTTAATGATTAGCTAAACAAGTGCAGAGGAGGTAAGTAGTCAAGTGGTTTACGGAGCATATAGGGCCCCCCCCAAAGCGGTAGGTATACTTTTCGCAGGCAGTATATTAATAGCTAAAGTAAGTAATGGTTACTGTGTTAGCCATTCAAAATAGAATAGTTTATTGAGAAATTACTGATGGCACTTTAACATAACACAAGCCCAATTATGCTGATTTTGGTTTGTTAAATCCATTGATCAACAAGGGTTGCAAAACTGTAAGAAACGAAAAAAACGGAAGGGGAGTAACAGGAAAACATGGCAAAAGAATGCTACTATTACTTACAAATTGTAAGATAATGATATTCAAAATTATGTACAGATCCATAAATTCATGAGTTGCCTTATCGGAAGAATTTACCGTATCCCATTATGATTATTTATTTTTAAACTGCTACACGGCTAATCATAATTAAGTTGCTGTTGCTTTTAAAGTTTTCTATTATTTGAGGATTGGGTGTTATACATCTTTGTAGCGATGCAACGCATAGAATTAGATAGTGACTTTAGGAAGTTTGGACACGGTATGAATGTTCCGGAAAGGTGATATCTACTGTCCATTAGACATTGTTTAACGTAATCACATTGCTGAACAAAATGCAACAACAAGTACGTAACTGCGTTTGATACAAATTAATGTACACTAGCCCCGTGTGTCTCAATTGTTCAGCGTACAAATGCTTGGTTATTTTCACCCGTTTGTAAATACTAGGCTATTCCAAATTGCCCTTAAAAAGTCCTCATTATTTTTCTTTTCCTGGCTCGGCCGCTGAGTTGTCATAAACCGTTCTTTTAGTATACCGAAAGTTAATCTTACGTCTCATTATCTTAACTCACATGGATTGCTAGTACACGTACTCGGAACACTGCGCGCTACATTAGTTGATTTTCGGACAATTACGATACCTGACCACACCATTGGTCGATACAAGCAGCTTCAGTATATTTTCTGATTCAGTACTTACTTATTCTCAAGCATGCAATATACGGACCGTATCCTTCGTCCTTTACTTCAACAAACGTGTGGTAATAATCTAAGTTTCTACTGAGATGGTTGGGTACTTGAGGTACTGACTTTTGTCGAACATTTATCTGACGCTCCTTAGAAGGAAGTTTATAAGAAACTGTACTGCTTTTTCCTGTTCACTACTGCTCAGCAAAACGCAGGTTCCACACAAGTTTTTCGAAGTCAGTCCACTTGTTTCCGCAACGTAAATATCCAAATTACTCGGCACTAGTTGACAGTGCGCTTTTGCAATTCTTTTTACGACTGTTGCTTGCCTAGCCTCAAATCAAGACTAGCGAACGCGTACTTGTGCTCAAGCATGCGCCAACAAATTGCACGTGGAGACTATCCTCAAGCTTCCTAGTTGGCAAGCTGAACAACCTCCACTTGCTTCCAGCTGGGTGGTACGTGGTAATCCCGTTCCAGCAAATAGTTCGGAGTGCAGTTTTCCAGGTCGTGCCGGGTCTTTGCCTGGCAGGCGTTCCCACTATAAAATGTCACAAAAGTACCTTAAACAATAGTGGTAGGCGGCAAATGTGACACGCTGCTAAAAAAGGCCACTGCCTCTAGATTTTCTGTAGGCACATTAACCTTTCGCGACAGTCATCCAGTTTGATGCATTCTTTCGTCGCAAATGCGATGGCAAAGGAGGCAAACAAAATTACCACTTATCACAATAAAATTTCTTTCATCATATCTACGTACACGTAAACCTACAGGTATTCATCCCTACCAAACAAGTATGTTACTATTTATTTGCCATATGTTTGTGCACTTGCAGTCTATACTCATCTGTAGTACCATGATCATCCTTTTTCATACGTGCCATACACTGCCTGCAATATTTATTTGGTAGAACCTAACGGCCTACGAAATCGCAGCATACTTTTCTTGCAATATTACTTTTTAGGTTTGGCGTACAGTCGTTTAGCTCAAAGTCGCTGCCCGTGATTTTAATACTACACGCTATTATAACCCCAGTGGATGCCTAAAACCTGAGCGATTTCTAGACAGCTGTTACACTGTCTAAGCTGCTCACTCTCTGCGTCTCTGTACCAGAAATAAGCCTGAATTGAAAGAATCTGCTTTGCTTTATAATTCCAGTCCTACCTCTGACTGCACGCTAAGGCCTCGCGTGTCAAAGCGCCAAACGGAATGCGCCGCGCAGTTGCAAATATAAGTAGGGGAACCGCTTAATTAGTGTTTGGTATCTTCTCTGCACATTGATTTTATAACTGCCCTCAGCATTTTGTTTCTCACCAACGTTTGACTGGTCTGTCTTTTTGCCCCTTGCTTTGAAGCCTGTGCTACAAAGAAACAAACTCAAACCCTGAGTAGTAATGCGCTTGTCATTGCAGGCCACCACTTCTTGTTGCTCTTACCTTCCATTAGTAACTAAATAAATAAATGTTACTCACATACGTATAAGGCAGCCTCGCTAGGCATAAACATTACGTTACAGCAACGTTGAAATAGCAGCCAAAATAGTAAATTGTTTGACGAGTTCCGTAGAAAAAGGTTGGAAATTATTAGTTTTCGGGTAGGTGACGTCTGTTGTACACGCTGGCAAGTTAACATGATGATACCTTTTGATTTCGAATCTTAGTCGATCAAACTGATCACTGCCTTAGGTCGATTGGAACTAGGTTCCGATAGTATGTCCCTGGCCAAGGACTACTGGCCACGGAATTCACCTGTTGGAAGTAACATGGAAGCTATAATGCAGAAAAGATGAAGCAGGTAATCCGACTTTTAAAAATTGTTTGCCTGTTCTATGAAATGCTTAAAATTGGTGGAGCATACTTGTGCTCCTCAATGCTGGTGATGTTTCGTAGAAATGTTTGCTTCGTAAAACATTGATCGCCACGTAGTCATTATTATACGCGGAGAAAGCATCCTCTGAAAGGGCTTTGTTGCATGGTTTTTACAAATATGCATTGCGAGAACTTGTCGATGAACAGCAATGCGCTGTGAATGAGGATCTTTCCTCAGTCATTTGCAGTTATGTCCATGGCCATGAGCTTGGGTTTTAACCTTTTTATACCCACGTACCCAAACTGAGACGTAACAGGGAGGTAGTAAGAGGGGATTAGAGCAAACAGCAACAGCGGCCTTGCTGTTTTTTAGCTTGTGGTTCTGTTACGTTGCCTGAGCCACATGCCAAAAGATGGTCACTAACAAGTTCTCATTGGGTAAAATATTTTTGTTCCGTCGAATAGGCGGTTCGTCAGACTAATGCCGCATCCGCCAGTTTCATGTTCTACGTTTACAGAACAAGCAGCAATATACAACGCAGAACTGTATACCGAAAGCGATGGTATCCGAACCAGCGAATGAGTCAAGCATACAAACTGAGGCTTAGGTGAGCGCAGTCGTTTGCAATACGTATCCTAAATGACCGCCGTTTTATCGTTATAATACGTTCTCCCATCATCCTGCCACTGTATGATAACACAATGGTAGCTAAAACATGGTGCCTGATCGCTGTGATCCTAGTCTACCTGGTGCGCAGACGAAGATGCCCACTCGATGGGCTGAAGTTGTAGTGAAATGTGGTTACCTTTCATATGTTTGTATTTGTTATTTCCTGCCAAATTCCCTGCCGTGTGCTTTCTATGTTCCTGCTAATCGGCTCAATTGTTGTGGTGTGGCGAACCGCCTTTATGGTAAAGAAAGTCATAACACTTGCTCACAAAGTGAGAGCATTTTAACTTCTACTTCCTCCACTCGGAGCAGTGCGTACAACAAATACTGTTAAAATTTCAGGTCAGTATCTTACTCCAGTACTTCTAAACGTAGACCAAATAGTTGCTAGTAGACAATTGTACACACGCTTTCACGCAATAAATAGGATGTTAAAGGAATTGCATATATACTTAAAAGTTATCGCATTGTCCAGTGCAGCTTTGCCAAAAAATGATATGACGTGTGCGACCTCCTTGAGAGCCAAAGTAGGTCATGCTCATATACTGACACATAGCTTTGTATGCGTGAGTTAAAACAGGTACTTTGGACCTCCCCATAAACTTAGAAAATGTGCTGTACATACCTGCTGTAAAACTAAGTGCGTAAAGCTTTAGCTTACATAGTCTGCTTTCTCATACCGTCTAAACTCTTGTCTCAAGCACCCTGCACAAATGTATATCTGTCAGGTTATGGGGAACAAATTGCTAAAATTATTCCAAACATGCCCCATAACCAGTTAGTAAAACCGGTTCCTTGTTCTTTGAATTCTATTATGTTTTACTAGCGTCACGTTTGCAGACACGATAATCAAGCAAGGTAGCCTAATTTTAACTACACAATAATAATAGTAATAGTGTTGGAGTTTGCCTTATAAATGAAACAACTAATTTGTCGTCCTTGAGCTAAATGCACAGAAAACTGCTACAAGACCATGCCTACTGTCACTTACTTTATGTTTTTGTTACAAAGCCGTTATATTTGCATTTGTATTCCATTGCATTAAATGCGTATACCATATTGCTGTGCGAGTCAACGTAACTTGGATAGTCAATTAAATAAACCGGGTTGATGGATTTTATTACGTATAAGTTATACTTGGCCGAAACAGGTTGTGTCATGTAGTTAGTTTGTAGATTGCATGTAGAAAACATTTCCGTATAGTCCGTTCCGTAGTATTCGTAAACCTGTTTGAATAAAAAGAGAATGAATTAACGCAATACCTACAAGCGTTTAATTATGCAAAAAATCCGATATCATTGTATGTGTTGCATGTAACATGGACAAATAGGTTTTACTGGCAATTAGACGTACACTATAGTAAAACGTAGCTTAGTTTACATACGCCACCTAAGCTGTTTGCTTTCAAAGTCGGCTTGGATTTCGTTATTGCTTTTGTTGCAAATAAACCTGTTAGAAAATAAATGTCACCGATGAAAGCACTCTAAATTGGGTTACGAAAGCAGGCAAAGTTATTCTATATTAGGGTAAAAGTCCATCGCTTTTTTTAGCTTTGATAACTATTAAGAAAAAACTAAATTCGCTTGCGTACTAAATACATCCAATCGGGTTTTGAATTTCTGCTGTATTTCAATTTTGCAATATTAGCGTCCTATAGCAATGAAATTTTAATGATCAAGCTTGTGTTAGCTGAGTTACGCTACTTTGTAGGAATGCAAAAACTTTGTGTACATTGACAACTGGGTGATGTAGATATAAATGTAATAGTTAGGTTGGGCGCAGGCAATTTAAAATGTAAGAAGCTGGTAAAGTACCACCATGTACCGTGACCAAGTATTGTAAACTGTGAAGCCGTTACTCCTTAAGTTATTATCGAATGAGCTTTTAGTTGTGTTAACTTAAAAATACGGTAACCTTCCTTGGCTTAGAACAAAGGCCTTGTGTTCTGCTTTTCGCTTGCAAGCATAATTATTGTTACGTGGTGCACTGAAATAAATCCCTGACTATAAAGCTGACTGTGACCTCCAGGATCATGCTTCGTTGCTGTTTCGTTATCACCCTTTTACACAATAATCGCTGCAACTTATTTAAAGCATAGCCGGTTTTTTTCGGTAACCCTAAGCCATGTTAAAACGCATAGTAGAAAGCATCCGCAACCTAGAATGGGTTAGCAAGTGTTGTGGCGAACAACTAAGACACTTACAGATATTTTGATATTTCTTGACTTAGGTAGCTCATATCCCTTTGTTTCTGTTAGCCATTTGTGTGTCTTTTTAGATTTGCTTCACGAATGCACACCTAGTTTTCTGCCATATGTTGTTGAGACGTAACTATATCTTTTCCGCATTAATAAAGAAGAGTCAATTTTCCGTACAAATTTGGAGTGTTTTCTCATATTATACCAACGCCTTCGCTAAATGCACATTTTTATATATTTCTTGACGGCATTTGCATAACTGGGTGTATTGTATAGAAGCGGCCGGAATAACGTTGCGTTCATTTGCTCGGTTGTTGAAATATCTGACATGGATATGGCTGATTTGTGTTGCGCTACGTTGTAGCGCTTTAGCAAATAAACGCTAGCTGCCGTCTCTCTTAGCCTAGTTTGTAGTCTCGTCTTTGTTTTGCTTTCCAATTTTTCTTTAGCATTGTATAACGGCCAGCAATCATATGTATTTGACGAAAGTCGTTTAATCGCTACACAATCAGTCTTCCATCTGCAGCTGTAAAACTGCCAGCCAGCTTTTATCGTTTTGTCAAAATGGCGTGCACTCCATTTTGCACCATGGTTTACCAGAGGGTGGTACCGCCGCATACGGAGCGTTCCCGTTACTTCTTTTCCATCTGGGTTCCGTACGACGCACGTACCCACTTGACGAAGAAGCGCTCGGTATCCTCCAGCTGGACGTATACTACAGTTATTAGCATAAGACAAAAGGGTTTTATCTGTAACTATTTAAGACTAAAATTTTAGTATTGCGTTACTCCTTAGGATAGTTAAGAAATTTGTTCAGCTATGCACCAAGCTGGTTGATCGTGTTTTTATCTTATCTTCACGAAACTAAGGATCGCAGCATGTGCCAGCTACTATGGTGGTCATTACCAAGTACTCGTGGTTTTTATCCACAACATGCTTATGGTCAATGTTATTAAAAGGTTTTCTTGTAAATTTTGTTCAGTAGCGAAGTATTCAGATTACTTAGTTGCTTTATGTAAGCATAAAGGCCATAAACTTTGCATTGCTTTGTAGACGGTTTTAACTGCTGCCGTCTATGAAAATAGCATTAAAAGGCAAACCTGGATTAATAATTTTATTCTACTGCACAATTTTGCGCCAAAGCTTCTTGTAGTGCAGAGTAGATAGTTGAGCAACGTCAATTGTTTCAAATGTTTCTAAACCACTGAATACCGCAACTGTGTTCTAATCCCTGCTAAACGAAGGTGCGTGTTGTTTTGTTCCTTTGAAGTCGAAAACTATATAGATATATTATGTTATGCAGGAGACTTGTAAGGGATCAAATGTAATCCATTTGGCTATAAGTGGTTGCAACTAGGTTTGACGTAAATCTGCAGCATAAAATATGCTTTACTCTCAGCAAGATTGCACTTTGGGCAGTAGTTTTGAATGACCAGCTAGTCGAACAACCTCTTGTCGTGCCAGCTTGGTGTTCCGGGTTATTCCCCTACAGGCTGGTGGTTCGGCGGCGGTTTTCCAGGATGAAATAAGACATTGCTTTGCATGCGTTTACCCTATTTAAATCACCTAAATCCGTTTAACAACATTTGACGTGGCCCTTTTGATCCACAAATAAACCAAGTCACTGCCTGCACTCATTTTCGCAGGTGCTTTAACACAGCACAAAGGCCACGCAAATAGAAGTGTTACTTGATTCTTCCCATTGATGGCAAAAGCAGCGAACAAAAGCACCCACCCAGTGATATTTACGTACTCACACAATACGGCTCCTTCAAATACACACTTATACATATGTTCTACACTTCAACCCATAAACATACATCCCTAGACTGTTGGACAAAAGTAACCATTTGCACCACTGCCGATCACATAAGTCTGAATTACCATGATCATGCCCTTGATGGTGTGCCTCGCAACGAAGCGAATATATTATTTAATTAATTATTAAGCACAGGCAAAATGCTTATTGGTCGGCACTAATGTTATTACCTTCGTCTCAGTAGAGTAAAGCTTCAAACAGTTATCACACTGTATAAAAATTTCGTCGCACATGTAACCGAGTTAAGCTACTGCAATAACGTTAAACTCTTTGGATCTGCGTTGTAAAGTTGGAGCATTTTGGTTAGGCCGATGTAAATATACTGCATTTAATTAAACAACTACACATGTGCATGACTTTCTATAGGATCGTTTGCGCGTGGTGGCTCATCTCCCGTTTTCGAAGGGGTTTCCCAAAATAGGCTTAGATCTAAAGAGTATAAAATACTTTAGCCTGCGCATTGATTTACTGGTAACCCCAAAATTATTGGAGTGCACAGTTATGACAAAAGTCTCCTACCTTTTCGCAGAGATTTTCTTTAAGTGGGCCGGACAAGTACATATCTGGATTTTGGAGGATAAATGTTATACGGAAGAGACTGATAAACACCTGCTCTAAGTTTAATCATCAACGTAAGGGCAGAAATATATGCACTTTTTCATTATATATTCTAACGACAGTGTCTTACCTCAGGACCAGCTTATTGCAATTTGCAGATATGACCCATTCTAAGGTGGGTTACGCTTTAACTTCTCCAAATGGTAAGTAGTTAATAGAAGGTTATCAACTCTATCTTTTTACAGACTGCGTTGGATCACCTTTTAGCTGGTGCTACTTTGGTTACATTAATAACCGTGAGCAATTACCTACGCATCGTCTTAAAGTGCGGCGGGATATGTTACACTATTACTGGCAAAATCTTGGTATTAATGCTTTAGAAGTTGTACCCTGGCACTATGCTAGTTATAACATTTAAACCCTTCAAACTAACTGAATCCTTTTCCAGAAGCAAATAACAACACTTAGGTTATGGACGTTTTAATTATGCGCATACTGTGTTAGTTAGAGCAATACAAAATAGTATCGTCCAGGCAGTCCGTTGGTGACTGTATCTTAAAGGTTGATTAAATTTACTGTTATTTTTATGAGTAACCTAACAGTTCATCAGTTGAAGACATTTGATCACGACAAGTATCCAATCAAGTAGCATATCCATTAAGAGCGCAACAGAAGTTATATAACCTAACTGGCTTTAAACATGTCTGAATGCAGTAGTATCCTATTACTTGAATGGATACATGTTTTCCGTACTCACTGTAAGTATCGTTGCTTGTGCCTAAAGTTTAAACAAAATGTAGCACACTTCGTGGTTTAAATTACTACACCTTTATTCAAACTTTGCAAAAAAGGAAAATATTCTCAAGCTAATTATTTTAAACAGTCCGTTAACATAAATAGACAAAATCGGCCTAATAAAAACAACATATGATTTATGCGTTAGTACGGCTTTAAGCAGTTTATATTTAAAGTAGTACAAAACACAGACTTATTGTTAAGCAGCGAAACTTGGCAAACTGCTTTTAGTCTGACTATGAAGTGATTACGACGCGAGCGAAGTTACTCTTGCATAGGTTATTCAGAATACTGTTGATTTAGCTGTCTTGGGTCTTCATTATTAGTTATTTTGCAAAGCACTACAATTCACAACTTTGGTATCTGTGTTTTCTGACGTGATATGACATAAAAATTTGCTTGAAATATTAATATGTTATTCTGATTAGTAGTGGTGAGCCTAAAAAAGGGTATTTATATTTAGGTTGACAATTATATATAATATATATAATATATATTATAAATGTAATATATATTTTATACATTATAAATATAATGTATTATGTATATTATATACATTTTTATATCACTTACCTCTTTGAAATAGAGTATTTATTGCTTCAGGATCATAACTGATGCACCCATCTTGGTCCCAGTTAAACAAAAATTCAGTGCGCCAAGCAGTTTCAGCATGATTCATTAGATTTAATGGTACCCCAGCGAGCCGTTCTTTCAGGTCCAAGCTTAGAATCGCTGCCTTTCGGTATGCAACTTCAATTTGGTATGTACAGTTGTAATAGGGCCCGGACTGAATTGCTCTTTTATACTTTCGTACAAACTGCAAAAGTGGCAGCGATGGCATACATACTGTCTTGTTTATTGTCTGGTAACCTACCTATTGGGTTAAAAAAGGAATGCACCTTGTCCCACTGCCGAACGCGCAGCGCGTGGATCAAGCAAACTCCAAGCAAGCTGTTTTATTCGGGAATCGCCAGCACGATTTATTCCCACAAACAGGTTTAAACAAGCTAAGTATTTCAATACAGGAATTTTAAACCAGCTCTATGAAAATCGAGAAATTTAACCAAACTTCTGTTTACCGTAGCTAACTAACATAAAACCAATCATCTAATACAGCAATTCAGTTAAACATACAGTGTGGCGTCCATTGCGTTACCCTTGGACAGTGTGCATGTGTTACACGCTGCAATTTCATGACAAGACAACAGCTCCAGTTAATTCGCTACTAAAAAATTAGTAGCTTTTTTATAACTACATGGATAACTCAACCTGCAGAAATTGTGCTAAATCTTTATGAGACTAATTGCTTTCCTTAGCCGTAAATGAGACAATAGGAAACATAGTGGTACTAAAGAAAATATAGCAAAATAAACGAAAGGTTACTTTAGGATTTTGTTTTTGAGAATATTGTAAACTTCCAAGCACATAAGTGCTGAAACTGGTATGCCACATTCTTGTTTAAGTTAAAATATGCTTGTGATGAGATGCTGCTTAAAATATAGATGGTATTTAGGTACGTAGGTATTTAGGTATTTATATTACCGACCATCTTAAAGCCGAAAGTAGAGCTGTAACCTTTAACTGCGTTAAGTAGAAATTGCAATGAAAGCCATTCATGAGTTTGTACAGCGAGTCAAATTCATTGGTCGTCGGTGCAACTTTGCCTACATTTTGTGTTAATAACAGTCTAGCGATGTTTAAATAAGGCTGAAAGCTTATGGTTAATTCTAAAAATAAACACTACTGTTTATTTACTGGTAGCTAAATACCTGCAAAAGGCCAATAGTACCTTTTATGTACTCAAAAAGGTAAATATTTAGCATGTCATCCAAGCTGTCCTAATCTAATAGTGGATTATATCAGTCATTCCGCTTGATCTTCTTGCAGCCAATACCAAATATTATAGGATCCAATGTTTGTCAATACTTTTACTGCTAGCATAAACTGATAGGATCAGTTCATTTTCGTTAACATTCAAGCAAAGGCTAGCGTACTTCTTTTACTATGCGCATTAATTACGTTGCCGCAAATCAATAGGATTTAACAATACAGAGCTTGGCTTACCAGCAGCTTATAACTGGTTTTGTGTGTCGAAAGATAAAGCTGCAAAGCGCTATTGACCAACTTCGTTATCAGCATAAACTAAGCAGACAAAATCGCGCTTTTCCCTTACATCCACAAACGCTAAAATGCTCCCTTCCCACTAATTATTGTAAGAAAATAACTTGTATTCTCTAGCAAAACAACCGAACTTCGATAGTAGCATACTTTTCTGTTAGTTTATTCTTTCTAGACTGGTTCCCTGCTGTTACTATTAGAACTAAAGTTTCCCGTCCTGTGGCTGGCCGCAGTGACAGGAAACCCGAAACCGGATGCTGCCAACCATATATGCATTAGAATAGAAGGGTTTTAAAAGAGTAACTCATCCAACCTTACACACCTTAAAACATGCAGCTAATTGCAATTTTTTAATGCGCAAAAGGTTTAGACACAACTAGAGAGTCAAAAAGTAAGACGCACCCAATGGCAGATGTTTCGCCGAGTAACGCTCCCGATGCCGTTGATGGATACGCCTATTAATGTAAAAATATGAAATAGATAAATTAGCGTCCGTCGCCATAATAAACAAGAATTAAAAGCGGTAAATAATTTAACGTTAATGTACTACCTCATCTAAAACAACTACTGATTAGTACACAACTTCTTTAATATTGCCCTTTATTTCAGCTCACACGCTAAGGCACCGGAATTGATTTTGTTCAGTAATATTTAGCTGAAAGTGACATTAAACTGTTTGGATTAAGCAGCATTTATACAAAACTTGGTATTTTACATAAAGGTAAACCTCAGCTGCTCACCGGATGGTGTATTCAGGACTTTTGGCAACTTACTTCTGCCAGCTGGCTTAATAGCTGCACACGGTCCATCATTTATTCCTTATGTACTAAGCAAGCAGCTAGCTGCTAGGATCAGTAAAACCAGATTTCGGCAATTGACTAAGTTAAATTCTGAAGTACGTATCGATGCCTCTGTAATAAGTTGAGTGGCAGCACTGCAAAATACTACAGAATTTGAGTAAAGATAGGGATAAACTTATATATATGAAAGAATTGTAATATTTAACAATCTGTGCATAGAACATTAAAAAGTGTAACCACTATAGCAGCTAAACACGTAGGCTGCACTTTGCAGCGTCCATGGTTAAGGCTGTTTTGACGAAAAATATCATAAAGAAGGATAGGTTTATGTAGGTTTTAGGTAACTTAATAAAAGTTGCTGAAATACTGAATATTTTAACCTGAAGTACGTTAATATATGGATACGTCGCTTCGTCTTAGTAATGGCGTTGGGGTGCAGTTAACCACAACACTGCCTTATGTGCTGGTGCGACATAGTACAATTGCAACATGGGTCGAACATGCGTAATATGCCTCCAATCATTTGGTTTGATCACGTGCAATGAGTTAGCTAAAGTTATCCTTCTTTTATCAATTCAATTCTAAGTGAAATACATCAGCCTATGTCCCAGAACATCTCAATTTTTGATCAGAAGAAAATAAGTATTAAAGTGGTTTCTTCTTATTGCCTGCCATCCGCGCTTTTTGCTCTAGCCACGCTTGCCAACTAGTAAACAATTTTTTTCAAACTATAGTAATATGTGCATTCATGGTTAAAACTAATTTCTCACTTCTCTATCGGTGTTTGTTTTACGGTCAAAAGAAAAGGTTAGTAATTATTTTTGTAACGTAGCGCAAGGTTGGAACGATTCGGGTGGAACACACTATAAAGAGAAAGAGCCTACAACTCACCTGGCTCGTTGGAAAATAGTCTAAACATTGAAAAGCGAACAGAAATAAACACTAGTGCTTACAACTTCTTTCCATTCTGCACGATGCTCTAGCGTCGTTCCTGTAACTGCGCAACATCCTCGACTGTACCGCTGTGCTCAACTACCTTCGGTAGATTCTTACTAAGCCTATCTGTCATCCAAAGGAAAAGATTGGATGCCGTGTGACGGCGACTAACTTCGCGAGAAATCTGTCAGTAAGCAGCTTTTCAAGTGGCACGTGACTTACATATACAAGGTTTTCGTCTGGAAGCGGTTTCCCAATAAAATACACAAATGGCTGCGTAACCACCCAGTGACTTTTCGCGCGTGACTCGCCACCAAGTAATATCACCACCCTTTAGATCACACCTGCAAGCCTTCCACCTTAACGTACCTACATATTTGATGCAAGAGCGCGCTTGTTTACCCACACTTGTTTTAGTTACTCAATCCTAAATTTTCAAAAGAAAGCACCAATTCTTTTTCACCTCACAAGTACAATTTACTTTTTCATGTCGCAGACTTCTTGAACTTTGCGAAACGCTATTGCTTATACCATTTTGACCTTGCTTTGGATGCCGTGTACGTAAATGTACAAGGATAAAATACTATTTATAAACATAATCATTCATTTGTATCTAACTTTTAAATATTTTTACTGAGAAATACGCGAATTCCAACACACTTTTGTCTATAAATTTTTAAAGCGATTTTTCGTGCTTTTTCGCCGTTTGCTAACAGAAGCAAATAAATTGAATTATTTGCGTTATGGTTAGTACCAAAACTTGTACAAATAGCTTTGAATATTGTTAGGTTGGCGCAAAGGAAGTATTGTCCTCGACCATGGGCTGTGATTTCCTTGCATTATATAATGTCAATATGTGTTTGCCTTTACTCCTGGTGTACAAAAGGGATTACAGCCATTAGCATGTCTATCAATATTCGTGTTTGTTGCTCAAAGAACTGTTGAGGAGTTCGCGGGCGACATAAGGAGGAAATAACAGGTTTTGCGACTGGTTACATCTGGGCAGATCATACACTTATTATCGCTATCTGAGAATCAGCTTTCCAATGGAAATGAAGACGCACATGGCAAACCATTTTGTACAAAAATGGAAAAGATGTGTTCGAGTGCACAACGCATACACAATTCCTTGCCACATAGCTTGTTCGTGCATTCTGCGTACATTATTTACAGCGCGAAAGCGCACTGGCTCTTTTAGGGATGCTGGTGGATATAGCGTTTGGCCGACTTGACTGTGGCTAATATATAATGATTTCACCTGGTATATATACCTATGCTCGCCCCATAAGTAGGCGTTCCATCCATGGAGCAAGTAGGTCGCAGTCGTCGACAGCAGCAATGTATCGCCGAGTTTTCAGGTCATCAGATGGCGCATAATGCGGCTTAGAAGCCAAATTGATAAATTAACGTTGGTCAAGAACTGAATAATTTGTAAACACTGTGTTCTTGGGTAAAATGCTGAAAGGATACGAATAGTCTGTAAATAAGCATCGTATTACACCAACCAATATTTTAAAATGTAAGGCACTAATTCAGTTGTGTAATAAGCCAAACGCACAATACGTCCACAACAGCTCGTGAAACCCTTAGGTTTCAATTGACAAAAGCTTTAACAAGTTGAAAGTAAATTAAATAAAAGGAAGTACAATGCAACGCAAGATTCCGGTCCTGCTGTGCTAAAAGTCAGATAGTAGCACAAAAAGTGACTATAAAGGAAGAAATGCTGTGCGATAATCCGGAAACTCTTCCAGTTTAATACTTGTAGTTGTATCTTTTTCATGATCACCGCTATTGCCCGAAGAATAGGACCTGTAAATCACGCCGTAATCTATGAACATTTTGCGTTACTGCCTTCTAGAACATGTTTCGATGAGCAGTTTTTCTATTTACTTAACCACGCATGTTTGAACCCCAATCGGTTGAACAGCCCAGTTACGGAAAGCAAAAAGCTAACTTATGCAGACATGGAAATAAGGAAGTGAAGCGTAGCAGGTACGGCGCGAGTTGCGCTCTTTAGCTGGAAAGCAAAATAATGGGCTTATCTCTATAGCTATCCAGGCTCGCGTATTCTGCAAAGCTTGCAAAACTTAACCTTGGGAAAGGCGCACGACTTCTTACAACGTATGGGCGTATTGCTGTACTAAATCAAACGTAGATTTAGAGTTGAATGGTAGATGGTGTCTACCAGTGCATTCTATCGCTGCTACATCCTAGGCAAATTTTGGACGCCGTTTCACGTAAGGTAATATTCCTTGGGTCCTATTACTTGTAACTACAAGCTCTGCTTCAACTTACGTACGCATTTGCTTTTCGCTCCGTTGCTCCGTTGCTGATGCATTTGAAAAAACGAGCTAAGCTTTTATCTTATGGAGGTTGATCATGAACATATTTTACAAAGATAACCGTATTATACCACTACCAAATCATCGTTGGGCTTTCAATTAAACAGGAACTTGTGCATAACAGTACTAAGCTTCAAGGAATAGTTTTCTAATAATATGTGCTGTAGCGGTCATGCACACAATATGGAAAGGAAACTGATTTGCTGCTACTAAGGTTAACAAAAACTTATGGATAGAAAATGCGTGTAAACCTTTACAAATACTCAGTAGTTTGATTAGCAAATCTAACATTGAGAAGCCTGTGGTTAAAAAGCATTTACCTTGAAGAACAAAAAAGTATTACTTATAATTGATAATTACATAGGTAATCCAAAATTAAATGTGTAGCCACCTTTACTGAATGCATTCTATATTAAACAATTTACTTTATGCTTACTAATGCAACTAATCAACCGGTATGTGGCAAAAAATAAATTCATTGTACAGATATTATAATCGATAATCCCAAGTGATGAGAATGTTTCCTAAATTAGTTGCAAATATATTCAAGGTAATAAAATCTGTTTACTCAATCTCCTCCGTCCATTTTTTGTTGTCACGGACTCCACTGTTATGCACATTTTCCCTTCAAAATTGATGACGCGTGCAAGGAAGCTTAGCGTTCTAAACATTTCCAAGGATTGCAGTGGCACGGACTGAACAATTTTGAACCTCAGATAAAAGTAAGCTGTCCTGTTGTTTTCTGTCCCTTTAGCTGTTGCAACAGCATTACATCCAATGAGTTTTTGACCCTCTATTGAGTGGTGCGCAAGACTCAGCAGCTGCAAATAAGTAAGGATGGCTTTTACGCAGTATTCTAGAAGCACAAATGTATAAATGTAATACCTTATCTAAGTGAATACTAGGCAAGTCACCATTTTAACTTCCTTTCGTGTACAATATGCAGTTGCAAACATAACATGGGAATAAGTGCATTGACGAACCCAGCCCATGCGTAGCATATGACATATATTTTTTTATAATAAATCTAGTACACGGAAGCATCCTTACAGGTATCAAGTGTCCATAAGCGGTTAACCTTATAATTTATATTACACGGTGCCTCTTCATTACAGGTTCGTTTAAAACTCAAGACATTTGTTTTAACGTCTCATTCTAGTTTATTAATGGATAGTAAATTTGGAACTATTGAGGTATGGGTGGTAAATGTAGTCTGGTTTCTGATATTTTCTAATGCAATCACACGTAGAACAGCTAAAATTTCTTGAGAGAAAGCTTTGTTTTGACTAGCAGTATGAACTCCCCAGGAAAGCTAAAAGATTTTCAAAACTAAACTGCATATTAAAGCAGGGTACTTTGCTAATCTAATGCTAATAGATATAAGCTTATCCAGGCTGTACTGATTTAATATATTAGCAAATGTTTGGCGTGAATGCATTTGCCTAGCGGAGCTAAGCATTTAGCGTTACCAAAGGCTGCTCCTAACAGGCGATGGTCTTTTATAAAGAAACTTATTCACACCGAGTTTAGCAGGAATTGAGCAACTTTAATAATCACTGAACCCAGTAGATGGACATGTGTTAGTTGTGATGTGGAAGTGCAATACGTGCAATTCAATACAAAAGTAAAAACAATGCTATAGTATATATTCTACTTTACATAAAACATACGCCGCATTTATTTCACTTATTTACCTACAATAAATTATTTACTCACACCGCATCATTTTACTTACTGTGTTGCAATTAGTACCGCCGGTGCTACCAAGGTATCGAGCTTTGATTGTAAAGGTGTATGCTATATAATATTAAAAAAGCACTTCACATTGGTAAGTTGGATATAGTAAACTTCGTGCACTGTACGACAAAGTTTAAATTTTTCATCAATACATTTTTCTATAAGCTTTAGTTTGATAAGGCAAATTTATTTCGGCAGCTAAATGTACATTTGCTATACGAGGTACTTATATTCAACCTTAAGTTATTGAGACATATTTGCCTCTTACAATATTTAATAATGGCAAGCATATGTAGTGCAAATTATGGAAAGGTATTCCAGTTTATTTGTTAAGAAAGTTATATCCCGCACTTAACCTAAGGCTGTTAACTACTACTCGTTGTATTTAGTTCCCATGAAACTTTGCGTAACGGCATATTGCAATGCGTATTTATGAATTGTCCTGCTGGTTGCATCATCCCTAAGTCTGCCAAAAACAAACTACTTTTAAGTGTCGGCTTTGCCGTAACTTCTTGGACAATAATAATACAGTTAAAACTGCGGATTAAATTTATATTTAATGTAGCTTACCTACTTCATCGAGTACGTACATCCACTCGTTCCCTGTTATCGTTAGGCAGGTGCTGCGATCATGGTTTAACCAATAATTGACCAAAGCAGCCTTTTCATAATACTGCATGTCGTTGCTGTAACCTTTGAGCAATCCGACCACTGCGACAACGCTGAAGGTTATTTCGTGTAGATCGTGTGCAACTTTTGCCGCAGTAAGAACACTGCAGCTCTGAAAAGAACCGCTTTTCCACAGACCTAATGCTTTGGTCTGCAGCTAAAGCATAAAAGAGGTCAGTTCAATTTGTTAGGTTTTATCACCCTTTATCCGCTAGCATAAGGCAAGTATCTTACCAAAGCACACGCAGTGGCATTATGGAATGCCATTCCATTACTTCGCATTCGTACCCCCGTAACTAACAAAATGTAAAGGACAAAAAACAAAGCAGATATTGAGTTAAACGAGTTTTAGGTTTATTTTCTAAATAATGCTTGGGTACTGAAGCAAAATGCATGTTTTCAAACTAGGCAGCAGCTTACTGAAAGGTATACGTTAAGCCTACGTATATGTTGATACATAATTCTGGGTTTCTACATAGTTCATGCTTTAGTAAAATAATAAATTAAGCATATTATTAATGTCATTTAAGTTCAGCGGAAACATTTATAAATAAATAGTTTGAATACCTTGCACTTCCTCTCGTCACGTAGAAAAGGTTTGTGTTGTACGTTTAAATTAAAACGACCGTTAACTACTCTATATCTGCACGTCGGCTGCCATTGATAGGGCTGCGTGTATATGTGAAATTCTAGCTTCGACTTTACAGTGATGCTACCAAATGTTTGGGTTACAGATTAATTTTATGCATTTAACGTTGATGGTTCTGCCTTGGGGTAATTAACCACGTCTTAATAATAACTTTTCCAAAACAGGAGGTCTAATTTGAAGTAAACTGGATATAAACGCTGGTGGTTTTTCTTAAAGGCTTATGTTGCGTTTCTTATATGGAAACCTAGAGAACGTGCTTCTTGCCCACGGCATGCTATTGGTAACCACGTGGATTACTGCGTACAATAATGCAGTCAGGTAAGCAGCACAAAGGTCAGTACAATTGTCTAGTGCAATCAATAATTATATATATCTTATCCGAAACTACTATCATACACTTAGGTTGGGCCGTATTTATTGGCTAAATTTATACGCTAATGACATTTCAGTATTAGAAGTGTGCATTGGACGAATTTTATTAGTAAGGTACTCGTGTACTTCTATGATACATTGCAAGCGTATGTTTACTCACGGCGTCTGAGTGCTAAACTACAACTGGGTATATACCAACTTTTGCCATTGGTGCTCATTGGAGCTTATAAGTTGCCTCGCTCCGGTCCATTATAAAAAATACCAATATTAAATGTTTAAAGACTCAGTTGTTTAAATCGATTTGCTGATAGGACCTGGCATCCAAAAACATTTCTGAGCGTTTAAAATTGGTTAGAAGCAGAGGTTATTAATCAAGTAAACTTCTTTGCACACTAGTTACGCTGGCGTTAGAAAAGTGGCATATATCAGGATATAAGTTATATAGGAACAATCCCGATTATCATATCTAGTTGCTTTGCGCTTTTATCAAAAGGGTTGATCTGCCAGATTTAACCAAGCAGTTAGTACATTAAGTGAGCATCAATACTTTAGGTTATTACATCATCTGCATTATAAAAACGTAAAGGTAAATTTGTTAACAATATGTTATTCAAAATGTGCATACGAATTTAAATAACTGTTAGCTTAATAAAAATTAACTTTGGCATGTCTTTCAATTTGACAATTCTCGACGTTTCTATTAAAAGTATTTACAAACAATTGTGCCTTCAACGGCATCAGTTATAAAGCGATGGTTTTACTTACCTACTGCTCTATCTACGATTGATGTCAGGATTCTTTTCACTACGGACGAGTTTTATCCCACTATGCGTTTCCACGCAACTGACAGACACCTTACTAATTATCGGAAGCAAAATCAGAAAAATCTAAAAGTAGCTAATAAATTTGTAAAGGTGTATCATGCTGGAGGAAGGGCTGCCTTGTTGAAGAGAAATTCGTCGCCCTTGAGCATACACGTTTTTCACTGTACGCACGTGCGCTCATTTCTGGCAAAAAGCATAACATTAAAAGTAATACCTTTTATAAGAAACTCGCGTATCTAGGTGTGATTATCTTAAAGGAAACCTAGCTATAGAAGGTTGACGGCGTTTTTGCAGCATTTGAGGATTTTATGTCCAACCATAATTTTGCCCATGCGTGTTCCATCCACCGTCCAGTAGGTTATCACCTTTGGTTACTCTTCCTGTTGTTAGTAGAAAAGAAACAACTTTGTTATTCGTCGCAAATTACAGCGTGTTTAGTTCTGAAGTGCACGTCGAAATAGCGAGATGATTACGGCTCTAACTTGCCAGCCAACATTTAGCTATCTTTCAGTTGTTGAAGCTCAGAAGCAGACGAAGCGTATGGTGACTTTATAGCTGTTAATCTACACATCGACCATGCGCTGTGCAAAGTTGCTAGTAAATTTAATAAGTTTGACACCACATGCCTCGCAACATATGGACTATAGCAAATCGTCAAATGATTCATCATGTTAGAAGCAACCCTGGACATCATGCTTTATAACAAACTTTAAATATATTTGCAGGTAATAGAGCTAGACTTAGAAGTTTCCATCATACGATACTCAAGCTATCTCCTGTCGTCTACAGTAGGATAAAATACAATAAAGCCACCAGTTGCAACGAGCGTAAAATTAAACGGAGACAACCGGTCCCCCGAACTTATCGCAACTGCAACACTACCTGCCACTGCAGCTTCCAGTTTGCTTTCAGTACAGATGTCTCAGCTATTGTGAACGGGTCAAGATATCTGAACGTCTGCTTTGATCACTGCTGTTCGATGGAAACTTTTCTTATTCCTGATGGCTGGTTCACCTCACTATTTTGCGCGCAGGTGAGTCAACATGAGGAAACAGGCTCCAAAGTTAGACATCGTGCTTTAGTAAAATAGCATTCCCTACGCGTCAGGAAAGAAGTTCCCTACCATTATCCTGCCAACGTCCATTTAGTCCTGAAAACAGTAATTCTCGTAAGATTTGACAGATTTTACATTAATTTATTGCAATCGCTCGTCATGGTACAAACACTGCCCTAGACGCAGAAAAATTAAACCTTTTCTTCGGCTGTTTCAGCAATGACTCGTTTCCCAAATTATCTTCACCGTTTCAGTATGCTACATACTCATCGGGTTGATGATGTTGTAACATTTCACAGGAAGCTTACCAATCCAAACTTAAGCAAATAAGGCGGACCTGATCCTTTGCTAGCCATTGTCATCAAGGTGTGTGCTGCTTCACTAGACCAACGGCTAGCCGAGTTGTACACTATGTGCATTCACGAAGGCAAGGTCTCAAGCTGTTTTAGCGCTGCCGACATAGCACATACCTTGAAGCGTCCGACAGGTCATTCTCTAACAATTGCGTGTAATTCGGGGGACTTTATACGTCATCGAGAAATTTATTTATAAAGAATTGTTAACGTACTCTACTGAATAAAGAACATCAACTTACATACCAAACTGTGAGGTCGACACAAGGCGCAGAAGATGGTTTAATGCCCTCTGTGCCATGGTCGCTAGCAACCAAGCCGATAGCCACACATGTATGCATCTTTGACAATACCAACCAGTTCGGTTGGGTTGACAGAGAAACCTTGTCGCAAAAGCTTCTGGCTTTTGCTAACAAACCATCCATGACCATCTAGCTACCATATTATTTCACCAAAAATAAGCAGATAAACAGATTCAACGGAAAAATCTCATTACTTGTTAGCGCTGCTTCCGAGGTCTTCTCATGAGCCATGTTGTTGCTGTTGGTATTCGAAACCAAAGTTAGCTCCATACCTCTTCCTAATGCAACCATAAGGCTTAAGTACGCAAATGACGAAATATCAGCGCGAACCGTACAACTCCAGCTTCTTCGACCATGCTACAATGATGTTTCAATAAAATTCTGCTTTTGTTTAACTACTGCGGCGTAACGCTGAACGCATTCGAATGCAATTTGTTACGGCTTTTGCTGCATAAGTTTAGGCGTTACGGAAAATGCGTCTCTGACTCTCTTCAAATACGTATCCTTGGTGAAAGCTTTAGCTCCTTACGTCAGGGTATTACCTGGGAAGCACACCGAAGCAGGGATTAGCGTGGTCAGTGCAGGTAAAGGAAGTATTTGCCAAAGTCAGGCGACTGCTTTTACGTCGGACGTCTTCATTCTTTTCAATACGCTCCCAGTTGAGGTTGCGGTTCCTCAATGCACATTCTCAAACATACTGAGCCTACATTTAACAGTGATAATTCCGGACCCATTGCGAAATCACCACAATTTACACCATAGGTTGCTTAAACGGATAACTCAATACATTGTCATTTCTAACCAAATGAGTTTAATGCATGGTATTTGTTCAAATTAATTCATGCGAAAAACTTGCTTCAAAAACACCCACTTATATAACTTTTCTATTGCCTTTTGGTGTGAGCAAAAGCAAACTTAGTTCCCTAACACAACGAAACTACAGAGTCATAATTCCCAGCAAGCGGGCCTTGGGCTCATCTGTAATAAACCATCATACTTGATTGCTGCGTGATCCGATTATTACCATTCTAGAAACAAGCAGCAAATTATATTAGTAATCCCTTACCACCCGCGGCACATTGTTATAATCTCAGGTTTTACTACTTTTACATGTATTTTGTTGAGTTTTGATGCCTCTTTGACCGCGAGTGTGTTACAGCTTAAAAATCACTTTTTCTGGGTGCACAACGGCAAATACTCGTCTTGAGTTTGATTTGCTCTGCAAGGACTGTGATCGTCTTTGTCTAACGCAACTAAACTGATCCTAAATAGCTTAGGCTATGCAGTTGGCTAGTTGCAATCCGCATAACGCTTGCTTTTGGTTACTTCATCTACTTTAAATAAATCGGAAGAAATGCGGTAGTATATAGTAAAATATGGTGCTAAAGGCTGGGAAAATAGCTAGATATTGTGGACAGCAGGTCCCTCTGACCCGCTCCTCTGCCAAACAAACCTG